ATTCGGGTCATGCTTCAAACTTGATAAGTCTTTCCTCTCTTCGCGAGTTAGATTATTTCGTACTTTATTTTCTGTGTAGTTTTTTATTGTTTGATACTGGTTGGTACAGTGGAGCTCCAGAGCTTCATCTGTCCATCCGGACGTCTGTCAACAATTGTTTGTGGACACTCTACAGGTCACAATTTTTACCCGATTTCAACGAAACTTGAAATATAGGTTTATCTCCCTCAGATGTATCGGACCGTAACTTCATGGATTATGGCCCCTGATTGTAAGAAAAATCACGTTTTTAGCTTGTGGACCTTATAGAGGTCACAATTTTTATCTGATTTTGTTGAAATTTGAAATGTAAGTTTATAACTTAAAGATCTTGATTCTTTTCAATATTCGCACACATCGAACTGTAACTTCCTGAATTATGGCCCCTGATTGTACGAAAAAATCATGTTTTTTTAGCTTGTGGACCTTATGGAGGTCACAATTTTATTCTTATTTTAAAAAAAACGTTTGAATATATCACTGTTACACCTTAATGACGGTTTCGTGAAAATCAGACCAAAACTGCCAGACAAAATTGCTGCCCCTCGTACGCAAACAGTGTTAAAATATGGTATATCAAGATTGTGGATCCTCTAGAGCTCACGATTTTGGTGAAACTTGAAATTGAAATACATGTTTATAACCCAATGATCTTGGTTCCTTTCGATATTTGCGCATATTAGATCGTAACTTCCTGAATTATGACCCTTGACTGTACGAAAAATTGCGTTTTTAGCTTGTGGTCCCTCTAGAGGTCACAATTATTATCTGATTTAAAAAAAAATGTGTGCATACATCACCGTTACACCATAATGATGGTTGAGTTCCTATAACGCAAATAGTGTAAACATCTGGTATATCAAGGTTGTGGACCCTCTAGAGGTCATAATTTTGATCCGATTATGATGAAACTTGAAATTCATGTTTATAATTCATGTTTATATTTCACGGATATTGGATTTTAACTTCCTAAAATATTTTGAACATCCAAGCCTTAATGTTCACCAATTAATTATTAAGAAATCAAATCAAGATTCAATCGAATTAAATAGGGGTGCATGAAAGAGGTTCAGCGAAATGTAAAGATGGCAAGGGCTTCTTTAAAAGGGATATAGACGAAACGGCACTAATCCAAAACGACCAAAATTTATATGACTGTGTAAAGTTTAAACAAACGAAAACAAAACGGCCAAAAATGTGATAAGAATTTTTCTAATACATGTATATACAGTGGGTTCGAATTAAAGGGGGTATGGCTCTATTTTTTGTAACCTTGAAATATACAAAAATGGTTCTAAAAACACATATTAATGTAATATGAACATATGTAAAGTGATTTATATTCAATTTTTGAAAAAAAAAAATATTGTAATTTCTAATCAATTATGTTCGGTGAATTATGCGAACAGTTCAAATTGAATGGCAGTCGTTTATGCCTGCTTAGTGCATTTTACACAATTTTTGTATTATTATTTTGTCGTTTGTGAATCGGCCTTTACTAGTTACTTCCACATTGAGTTGTAGGATATGTTTTTATTTGTTCATTACAAAATGGCACCCGAAACCATAGGGTGCACTCATCGTGTACTGATTAGAAAATGTTAATTGTGTCTTAAATATCGGATATTAGGATCCTCTAGTTTCACGACAAGATAACACCAATATTAATTGAAATTGATCAATATTGAATTCTAATTCGTCTTTTTGAATTCAAATATTATGGAAAATATTGAATTAGAGACTTAGCTCCTTTACACATATATTATGCAAGATCTAAATCTGCCTATTGCAGGTCTTTCTTTAGGCCTTAAATGTTATATAAACTGTTAACTAGAAATTTATTAACATGACAAGAGTTGAATCATATCTGCTGTTCAACGGCCATTGATGGTTAACCATAACAGTGTTTTTTGTTTTCATTCGTTTTGACTTCGCACAGTTTTTAATTTTCTGTTGAAATGGAAAAAAATTGCTAAACTCGGTAACTTCTGCAGACAATAAAAACTGTGTCAATTCAAAACAAATGAAAACAAAAACAGCCAAAAATCAAAATTTATGGAAGTCTTCTGAAAAATATAAATAGTGTTCTGTGGCTTTAAGGAGAGCATTAAAATTGATGAATCATGATATTAATAGGAAGTTATTGGGAGTATGAAGTTAATGAAAATAACATGATATTTATGTAACATAAAATAAAGTATGGTGTTGGCCTAGCTGTTCGTGATAAATTGGTATATGGCGAACTTAAAATTGGTTACTCATGGGCTTCTCCGTATCTTATAAAGATAGCTATCTAATTACAAGATAATCAGAATTTTTTTTTCATTTGGTTGACCCTAATGGGCTTCCGTAGATTGGATCTTCTATAGTGAAAATATGTCATTTTAGTAATAAACAGTTTACCCTCAAATTAAAGTCCAGGTTTTTATGTCTACATCACGTCATCACTTAATACCAGTGAAAAAAATGCGCTCCGCTGCAGCTGTTTATAAGCATAATGACTGTAATTGATAATGAAGAAAAGCGATGTTGTTGAATATGCTATAGACAATTGTATATATTTATATATGCACCTTTTCGAGCCTTTTGCAAAACTGTTCTTTTATTCTTTTTTCCATTTCGCGTAGATTTGAGAAACTATAAGAAGCGGTATAGTTCCGATCCGAACACAGATTTTTCCTCATGAAAGTTGACAACAGTTAGCAAGTATATATTGCAAAAGGTGTGACCAGACCGGAAATGATGTAAATCTTTATTTTTAGGAATTTTGAAATTTCACTTAAGGTTTTGATAGCTGAGATTGATCCGATTCTAAGGATATCAGTTTTGTTCTGAAATCTTAAGTTTGATTTTTCAATTTTTTCGCATTTTAGTCAAATGTTCTTATTTTTTTTAAAACGACTTCTAGGATTTTTCTGAAACTTCAGGAATATCAAGTCAAAGGAATAACCTGGTCCTTAAACTATAAATTAAAATCCTCTAATCATTCGAAGTGGTGAAGAATAATATCTAAACTTGGACAAAATTCTGAAAAATGGGTTTCTGTGCGGAAAATACGATGTATCAAATCAATTGGCTGTTTACCAAGTAGTTATATTTTTATATCTTTGAATAGCCAATTGAATTGTCTATCAGATGGTACAAAAGCAACAAGTTTCTGTTTTGAAGATAACAGCTGGTATTTGTGTGTATGATGATGGTCACTCATTTGTTCATATCGGAAGTTGTATGGACATATTTATACTGTGTCAGTACATTTATTATCTTGTTTACTGAAATCACTGGCAATGTTGTTACAGGTGAATCAGGAATCATTTAAAAGGTACATAAATTCAAATTTGAAGATGCTTGGTTGTGCTACCTTTGACCTATGTTTTGTTTGTAAGTAATATAAAATGAACTGAAATGTGGTTTAACATCCTACTTTTCAAATTCATCCTGGCTAATGCTGTGGGCTATGAGGGAATTTTGGCCAGACAGATTTTCACACCATTGTCATTGACAAAAGTTTGTCCCTATCATAAAACGACTTCAATAGATTACAGTTGGGCATACCATAATATCATTTTCAAAATGTTTATAATTTTTGTAAAGATAATATCCCAAACTATTCGCACAACTGTAAAGCAGCACTACTTTGTTCCGCTTTTTATACGTCCTCATTGAAATGTGGTCGTATATTGTTGTCGCCCCTGTCCGTCCGTCTGGCGACCACAATTGCTTGTGGACGCTCTAGAGACTAAAGTTAATATCCGATTGACTTTAAATTTATACACAATGTTTAAGGTCATGAGACGAAAAAGTCTATTCATTTTCAGCGATATTTTGATAATTACTGCCAGGGTTATGGCCCTTGATCACTTCAAAAAATCTTGTGGACGCTATAGAGGCCAAAGTTAACATCCGATTGACTTTAGTTTTATACGCAGTGTTTAAGGTCATGAGACAAAGGAGCCTATTGATTTTCAGCAATTTCAGATAATTACTGCCAGAGTTATGGCCCTTGATCACTTTGGAAAATCTTGTCTACACTCTAGAGGCCAAAGTTAATATCCGATTGACTTTAAATTTATACACAGTGTTTAAGGTCATGAGACGAAGAAGTCTATTTATTTTCAGCGATTTTCGATAATTACTGCCAGAGTTATGGCCCTTGATCACTTTAAAAAATCTTGTGGATGCTCTAGAGGCCGCCACAGTTAATATCCGATTGACTCTAAATTTATATACAGTGCTTAAGGTCATGAGACGAAGAAGCCTATTGATTTTCAGCAATTTACGATAATTACTGCCAGAGTTATGGCCCTTGATCACTTTGAAAATCTTGTGGACGCTCTAGAGGCTAAATTAATATCCGATTGACTTTAGATTTATACAGTGTTTAAGGTCATGAGACGAAGAAGTCTATTCATTTTCAGTGATATTTGATAATTACTGCCAGAGTTGTGGCCCTTGATCACTTCAAAAAATCTTGTGGATGCTTTAGAGGCTAAAGTTAATAACTGATTGACTTAAAATTTATACACAGTGTTTGAGGTCATGAGACGAAGAATCCTATTGATTTTCAAAGACTTCCGATAATTACTGCCAAAGTTATGGCCCTTGATCACATTGAAAAATCTTGTGACGCTCTAAATGCTAAGTTATCATCCGATTGACTTCAGATTGATACACAGAGTTTAAGTCTTGAACAGCTAAATCCATAATATTAAAAGTTTTGTATACTAAACGTTAGCATGGGGCAGAACTTTATAAAACCAAACAAATTCTAATGGTTTTCTGATTATTACTTCATGGGTTGTTACTCTTAATCAGATTGTAGTGTATTATAAATGTTGCCGTTGGTGTATGTTTCGTTGTCTGGCAACCTATCTTTTTAACTTTTGAAAGTACTTTTCATTTATCAGGGAGCACATCAGATTCGTATATATTATAACATTGATTATATAAATCTTCTACAGCTGGAGGACCAATGAAGAGTGGAGTAATGGTAGAATTCTGTGACTTGGGTTTTCATTTTCGTTCTCCTGGAGATTTAATGGATGATGAATTGGATAATATATTGGATTTCCTTCATCATCGTGTGACAAAACAAGAAAAAAATGAACTTTTCCAGTTAGATCTATTATCGGAAGCATTAAGAAGGTAAACAATATGTAATGGGAAATAAAAAAGTTGAAATGATAAACATTTTTCAGACTAGAATGACCTTATGTGAGTGCATAGGAATAGTAGATATACTCCATAGAAAGTCAATATTTTAGATTTATCATAGTTCAGATTAGCAAAATAAAAATGTGCGACTGACATCTGGAATAATAATTGAATGGTTTTTGGGGTCAGAATCAAAATTTGTATTGACATCAGGCCCCAAGTTCACAAAGCATTCTCAGACTTAAGTTGAGAATTTACTCAACTTTCAATCACTGCTTATGAGAAATATCTTGGTTCCAGAAACACAAAACTTTGCACATAGTTTCTTATTGATATAATTATTTGATACATTGAAACAACACAAGTTTTATAAAGGGTTATATATTAGTTAATATAATGCGAACAATTTTGAGTAAATTCTTAACTTAAGTCTGAGAATGTTTTGTGAACTCAGGGCCAGGAATAATAATTGAATGGGATTTTTTGAGGGTCAGAATCAAACTCGGTATTGTCATGGAACAAAGTCAGAATCTATATCATCTATGTTTCAGTGTATCTTTCAAGAGTTATTGGATGTGTGCTGATGATGGGGATCAAGTACGCAGTGATAAACTAAAAACATCTATTGAAGAGTTTTTTGATGCTAAAACTAAAGATATAGAAGATGGCATGAATGAGCGGACTGTTGACATGGTATGTATATCGATGTGTATATATGTAGGTTGATGATAATCATACTAACGATGGTTATTTGAATGTATTAAAAGTATGAAATGGAAGAAAATGGTCAATCGACAGAATTGATAACCTGGGATCTGTTGCCTTGGTCTTTATATGAAATGGGTTGGAAAGAGAATATTTGATAATTCTACAGTACAACAAAATTCTACATGTCCCATAGACTAACATTCTGTTGCCTTGGTCTCAATATGAAATGGGTAAGAAAGGGCTAATATTTGATAATTCTACAGTACTACAACATTCTACATGTCCCATGGTCTACACATTCTGTCAATCCTTTGCAGAGGATGAAATCCCAAGAATGTTTCTGCACTTGTTTAGATTCAAATGTATTTGCTTACATTTGTCGTCGCCCCTGTCCATCCACAATTTGTGGACAGTCAACCGGTCACAATCTATTTTGACGAAACTTGAAATATAGCTATAGGTTTATCTCCAAAGATCTTGGTTTCTTTTAATATTGGCATATATCAGACTGTAACTTCATGGATTATGGCCCCTGATTGTACAAAAAATCATGTTTTTAGCCTTTGGACACTCTAGAGGTCACAATTTTTATCAGAGTTTAAAAATTGTTTAAATATATCAGTGTTACAACCTATTTTTGATTAAGTTCAAATTTCGATATTGGCATACAGATTATGGCCCTTGTTTGTACGTTTTTAGCTTGTGGACACTCCAGCGGTCACAATTTTTATCTAATTTTAAAAAGCGTTTAAATATATCAATGTTAATGAAAATCTAACAGAAACTGCCTGACAAAATGGTCACTCCATGTTACGCAAATAGTGTAAAAGTATGTAATACCAAGCTCATGGACCTTCTAGAAGTCATAATTATTAGGCTGTTCAATTTTGATGAAACTTAAAAATAAATGTTTATATCCCAAAGACCTCTGTTCCTGTTGATATTCGCACACCTCAAACCCATAATGTTTATCTGATTTAAAAAAACGTTTAAATTTATCACTGTTGTTACACCATAATGACAGTTGAGTTCGAATTTATTTGTAAATCGGACCGAAACTGTCCACCAAAGTGGGCGCTTCTCGTATGCAAATAGGTTGTGGACCCTATAGACTCTAGTGGAAGCCCTGTACGTTGTAGAGGTCACAATTTTTATCTGATTTCAATGAAACTTAAAGTAGCTAAGTCCGTAACCCAATATCATCCAAAATCTTCAACATTGAAAACACAAAATGTTTTGCAATTTAAATCAGCATGGTGTGGTGATCTTACCTGGAAAATATGGGCTTCTGATGTCCAATATTTCAGACAAAATAAACATTTTACCATTGGTATACGAATCGTGTACCATAATGCGTTTCAGTGGAATTTGTAACAAGGTTCTCAAAGAATGAGGCTAGACATATATTCCACATGTCATATCAAACGGTAATGCCATATTCTTATTTGTAGAGCATGAACAATAAATACTATCGATGTTGACTGGAATAACCCTAAGGATGATCCCTATTGATTTTGGTGCATGCCCGACCCCCAGGGGCAGAACCACGCCCATTTTTTGTATGTCTTTGTTTGTCATCTACAGGCCGCATTTCTTAACGTATCATAATGAAACTTTGCATACTTATTGTTTGTACCCTAAGGAACTTCCCTATCGTTTGGGGTGCACGCCCAATCCCCAGGGGCAGAGCCACGCCCATTTTCTTTTAGTATGTCGCCTACAGGCCACAATTCTTAAGTGATCATCTTGAAACTTTACACACTTATTCCTTATACCCTATGGATGATCCCTATTGTTTTTGGTGCATGTCCAATCCCCAGGGGCAGAGCAACGCCCATTTCTTGTATTTGTTTGTTGTCGTCTACAGGCCGCACTTCTTAACGTATCGTCTTGAAACTTTGCATACTTATTCTTTGTACCCTAAGGAACATTCCTATCGTTGGGGTGCATGCCACAGAATGAAAACCCAAGTCACAGAATTCTACCATTACTCCACTCTTCATTGGTCCTCCAGCCACGCCCCCTTTTTTGCCTTTAGCACCCGAAGGCCACAATTCTGAATGGATTATCTTGGAACTTGGAATACTTATTCCTTATACCCTAAGGACGGCAACTATTGTATTTATCGTCTACAGGCTGCAATTCTGAATGGATCATCTTGGAACTTTGCATATTTATTCCTTATACCGTAAAGACAGCAACTATTTATTTTGGTGCTTGCCCCGACCTCCTGGGGCAGTGTCACACACCCACTTTTTTGTTAGTATTTTGTCTGTAAATTTGGCAAAATAAACCCAACGCCTAGCCTTCTTTGCATCTCATCATATTACAGCCATTTTATATTTCATTCTCTTCATTTTAAAAAGTACCATTTCAATCAATGCTGGAATGTGAACGTATATTGCAGCGTTTGCGATGGTCTCATTTAGCTTGTTCTCTGTCCATTTCTTGCAAAATGTGGGCATATCTTGCATGACAACTGCTTGTTAAATTACATCAAGTTTACACTTTTGATTATGACGGTTGACTGTCCGCTGAACATGCAACATGTAGATTATGGTTGTACTGCAACTCTTTGAAAATGTATTGTAGGATTTTCTGGCAAACTGGTCACTGCTAATCCAAAACAGATTTATTGTCATCTTAGTCATTTGTTTAAGATTACTTGCATCTTTCTTCTTTTCTTGTTCTTTTCCAGCCTCAAAGCACTGTTTTAGACCAACTCCTGTGTGATATTAGACAGTTCTATAATCTTTATGGGAAAGAGCACACTTTAACAGGCAGAGTGATAGCAAGAATATTTCATGGGATTGGCAGTCCCTGTTTTCCTGTTGAAACTTGGTGCCGTGTTAGACGTTTTTGGAGATCACATTTACATATTGACTTCAATCTATGTTTAAAGATTTCATCTCAAGAGCTCATAAAGATTAGATAAAAGTGTAAAAGGCTTTTATCCAACAAATTCCCTTGTGATGAAACAATGACATTTGCCAACATTAGTAATACATCATTACAAAATCGATGTACATATGCACGCTTGCAGTAAAATTTGATAAGATAGGCCTAGAAACACTTTGTGGATTTTCAAACCCTTTGTCTGTCTTGGCAGTTAATTCTGAGAAACTGATATGGAAAGTGTCTGATATATTAATGGAATGTAATATATTCATGACCATAGTATATGTAAATGAAATGGTTATTAAAATTACAAATATGTATGTATCACTGAATCCATTAAAAGTATCTTTTATTTATTTAAAAACAACATGGAACTCATGACAAAATACTAATTAGGCTAATCAAAGTATCAAGACTGTCTGATATTAACAATTTACATTTTCAACTTCTTCAGGGATTTCAGCCAAATATCATATGTAGGTATTGTGGACTGTATGAAGAATCTGTGAAGTGCAGAAAGAGATTTCAATTTGATTGTAATAATAAGAACAGACACCCAAAGACAAACCTGCAGGCAAGACAACTCACTACAAGCAATAAACAACAAAAAGTATTATCAAATCAAGTGAATGGATCAGGGGCAGAGCCAGTTACTTGGTACAATTTCTGTGATTTAGTTTGAACAGAGGTTATTTTCTGCATTAATGTCAATTTTGAGGTTCTAAAGAAGAAACATAATTTAAGAACACACAAAATAAAGTAAATGTGTCCATTCTAGATAGTTATTTTATTGCTGCCATGTTTCATACAATTTTCAAAGTAATGTAGGTAACTTTGAAAATTGTATAAAACATATCAGCAATAAAGTAACTATCTAGAATGGACGCATTTACTTTATTTTACAAATTTTATCTACTTATAATAAAATCTTCTAACTACTTCTTCTGCATATATATTGTAAATCCATTCATATTCTTGTTACAATTGTTCATTAGCATTTTTAAAATTGGCAATTACGGCCATTGAGAGGGACTATTGTTTTGTCTACTACCAGACATATCAAATAGAGTTCAAGTCTGAAGACCAATAGCAAATTGTAGTTAATGTCAGAATTTTTAAAATATATCAATTAACCATTAGGTTATTAATTACTTGAGGCCTAATTGAAAATTCATGTCTTTTGGGATCTTTTATAATGATCCATGTTGAATTATGTGTTCTATATGTATATTCTGTGATGTGGGATTTAGTCTATAATGTGGTTGTATCAGTTACCGATGAAGATCTTTGGATCTGTGATGCACTAAATCTTAAGATGCCCTCTGCAAAAGAATTGTTGCCATTTTTTCCAAAATTATGTATGTGTTGATTGCAGAATGTTTACTTAAATTCAAATAACCATCAGGTAGCAATTGAAATTAAGGGCAATTAACCTTAGGGATTCAAGAAAAACAAAAAATATTTTATTTCATATCTTTGTTTTTGCACACTTGTGAATTACACGCAACAGATCCAACTGATGAACTGTTTACATCCCCACCTGTACCTACTCAGTTGTATATTGTTTCATGACCTGCTTGTATTGATGCATCAATGTGATACAGATATAAGTATTGCAGGCACAGTGTTTCCACTGTGAGGGGTCCTACAGGCAACAAATGACACGGTCCTTCTCCCCATTAGGCATTGTCTAATTAACTGCAATGTACCCGGGCGGTTGTAATAATTCTTTCTTAAGCCTTTAAGTGGGCTGCAGGAACTACTGGTGTTCTTCTTCTTGTGCTGTTCTCTAGTGTTTCAGACAAAGTGAGCAGTACAGTTGGGACACTCCCATTTGGCGACAAGGGCTGGTAATTCAGTGAATAGTATACTTACCTCTGAATTACCCCCTTGCCTGCAGATACAAGTAATGTAGGCACAGTGCTTCCAGCCGGGGATCAGTTTGGGAATATCAAAACTAAGACAATGACAAATATATGACCTTTATTAACATAATTACTTAATCTTAAACACTCAATACTAACTAAACCCACAACACACTTTGCCCCATAACAAACTTCATCCCACCACCTATTTCCCCTTCAACCCATTTTTGGTAATATAGTCAAATTATTTGTGCTAAAAGCCTTGGACTTTTTATACATTCAGTTCCCATTTTGGACTATCTTCGTGGTTGCAGTCCAGATTAATTGTTAACCCCAATGAGTTTTGAGAAATACTGTAGCCCCTGTCCATCCGTCCTTCCACAATTGTTTGTGAACACTCTAGAGGTCACAATTTTTATCCGATTTCAACGAAACTTGAAATAAAGGTTTATCACCCTAAGATCTCGGTTCCTTTAGATATTTGCATGTATTGGACTGTAACTTCATGGATTATGGCCCCTGATTGTACAAAAAATCACTGTAGAGGTCACAATTTTTTATTGGATTGGGTTAAACTTGAAATATATGTTTATAACCCAAAGATCTCAGTTCCTTTCGATATTCACGCATATCGGACCATAACTTACTTTCAATATTCCCTCATATTGGAACGTAACTTCCTAAATTATGGCTACTCATGATTTTACGCAAAACATGTTTTTAGCTTGTGCACCCTTTAGACTCTGAGGTCACAATTACTACCCGATTTAAAAAAAAAACACTTGAATATATCTCCGTTACACCGTAATGTTGGTAGAGTTCAAATTAGCGGAGGAAATCGGACCAAAACTGCCAGACAGACAAAATGGCCGCCCCTGGTAAACATTTGGTATATTAAGGTTGTGGACCCTCTGGAGGTCACAATTTTGTGCTGATTTTGATGAAACTTGAAATGCATGTTTATAACCCAAAGATCTTGGTTGCTTTCGATATTCGCTCATATCAAATTGTAACTTCCTGAATTATGGCCCCTGATTGTATGAAAAATCGTGTTTTTAGCTTGTGGTCCCTCTAGAGGTCATAATTATTAACCGATTTAAAAAATATCATTCGAATATATCACCGTTTTGATGGCTGAGATCGAATTTCATGGAAATCGGACCAAAACTGCCGGACAAAATGGCCGCCTCTTGCACGCAAATAGTGTAAATATACTATTCAAAAAAAGTAGGGGATATTTGATTTTTAAGTGTTATTAAAGTCACCTAATGAAACTGACGAAGAAACAAATGACAAAATGAAATGAAGTTCACATTCATCGATTTATTCCAAATGATCGTTAGACTAAGTAAGGCACAGACTGACCGTTATAAGGGTAAAATGATACCTGGGGTCAAACAGCAAAGTTACCACAGCATCACAACCAAGTCAGTAACGGGTAAATCCTCCTCTGTTTGCCAAACAAGCATTGATCCGACGTGGCATACTCCTAATGAGACGTCTAAGGTCATTTTGGTCCAGATTGTAACATTCCTGTTGCAACGCAGCAGCAAGTTCTTGGATATTGGCAGGACGTTGTTGACGTTGGCGTAACCTCTGTCCAAGCATGTCCCAGACATGCTCGATGGGGGAGAGGTCGGGACTCAGTGCTGGCCAAGGTAATGTGGTGATGTTCTGTTGTTGGAGGTAACCTGTAACGATCCTGGCCCTGTGACATCTTGCGTTGTCATCCTGGAAGATGAAACGGCGGCCATGACGTCGTGCGAACGGCACAACATGGACTGCCAAGATGTTGTCCCGGTAGTACTGGCCTGTAACACGCCCTGCAACAACATGTAAAGCCGTTCTTCCAGCAACAGTGATGCCTCCCCACACCATAACAGAACCACCCCCAAATCGATCATGTCTGATGACGTTAACGTCTTGGAAGCGCTCGTTTCGACGACGCCACACCCTCCTACGTCTGTCCAAAAAATCAACAGTGAACCTTGACTCATCTGAAAACATCACATTGCTCCAGCGTCGATTATCCCAGTGTTGACGATCCCTACACCAACGACGTCTTGCCTGAATGTGATAATCTCTCAAACAAGGGATCACGCGAGGACGTCGGGCGCGAAGGTGACCCCTATGCAGTCGATTCCGAATCGTCTGGCCACTCACTCTCACACCAGTGTCTGTTTGAAGACGAGCGCTGATCTGATTTGCTGTGATGACACGATTTCTCAAGGCCAAGGTACGGATAAATCGATCCTGGGCTTGAGTTGTCGCCCTTGGTCGACCTGAGCGTGGTCTGTCCTGTACAGATTGTGTATCACGGTATCTGGACCATAGCCTGCTTATGACAGACTGAGAAACATTCATCGTCCGCGCCACAACCGCCTGTGTTGTGCCGATCTGTAGCATGCCAAGGGCACGTAACCTTTCATTTTGGGTAAGCCGACGCATATCAAAATTTGTTTTCTGGTCACTAAAACAATTAAACGGATGTTTCCACCCTGGAATTCAATGCCACAATGACTGTAACATTCAAAGTCAGAGTCGTGCAAATCTTGGGTTGGACCCCCATGATGATCCCAAGCATCACCTGCATTCCATGCGGTAGCTATTGGTGCGTTTGGGCGTCACATGTAACTGGAAATGTTTCTTCTGTTAGGTTCTATAGTGACTTTTTTCGTAGTCATTTGCATATTTTAGTATTATGCCCCCAAAATCAAATATCCCCTACTTTTTTTGAATAGTATATATGGTATATCAAGGTTGTGGTTCCTCTCTCTATAGGCCACAGTTTTGATCCGATTTTGATGAAACTTGAAATTCATGTTTATAACTCATGATTTAAAATAGATAAAAATGCAGTCGCGTTTTTAGGATGTGATCCCTCTAGATGTCACATTTTTTTTCCGATTTTAAAAAAAAAACGTTTGAATATATCACTGTTACACCCTTATGATGGTTGAGTCCGAATTTCGTACAAATCGGACCAAAACTGACGGACAAAATGGCTCCCCCTCGTACGCAAATATTGTAAATATATGGTATATCAAGGTTTGGACCCTCTAGAGAGAGAGGACACAATTTTGATCCGATTTTGATGAAACTTGAAATACATGTTTATAACCCAAAGATCTTGGTTCCTTTCAATATTCATGCATATCGGATCGTAACTTCCTGAATTATGGCCCTTGATTGTACGAAAAATCACTTTATTTTTGGGCTTGTTCTCTGTCCATCTCTTGCAAAATGTGGGCGTATCTTACATGGCAACTGCTTGTAATGCCCTCAGATTAAAAAGTCGTACAACTTGATTACACTAAATCCAAATTGCTTTGCCCGCTTTCGTTGATTTCACACTAGTAGTCCACTCTATTCGCTTCCACAGCAAACAAAGCGAAGAAAGATTATTATTGGAAAGTTAACACATAACTCAGGAGCTAGCTTCAGAGTAGCACCAGAAGCAACTAGACATCTTTTTGTGTATCGTGTAGAGAGCAGGACAACAAACACTCAGTTTTCCAGTTTCTTAAAGGATAACAACTTTACTGTAAGTGCCGTAGGATGCGTATCACATCCCATGTCGAAGTTCAATTCCTTTAAATTGTCTGTTCCAATGTCAGAATTTAGTAGATTGTTTGATAATCTCTCTGGCCAAGTGTTGTCCGGATTAGAATGTACATGTACCCAAGTCGGGATAACCCAGAATCAACAAATAAATGACGCTTCATCTACCTAGTTACAAGTCTCATGGCCTGGGAGAGAGGCACTTCGAATACACCCGGAAACTATGCAGATCTCAAGATTTTGTTCTTTTTCAAGAGCATTTGCACAGTACAGATGTTTAAGGCGGTCGCCTCTTCGGAGGAGTCGCTATTCCATGGAACAATTCATTACTATGTGACGTAAAGCCGGTGCTGTTATTGTGAAGTTTGGAGATATTATTTGTTTACTGTGAAATGTTGTTTACATGCCATGTGACGGACACAATATATGTGAATTTTATAAGACATTAGAAGAGACATGTCAATTAATAGATGAAAATTCGGTGGATAATTTCATTATTAGCGGTAATTTTAACACTGATTTTGAAAGGACTAGTTCTGTGCAAACGGCTCACCTTGAATATTTTATCTTTATGAACAGTTTAGAACGCACAGAGAGGTATAAAAACAGTAATGTATTGTTTACTTATGAAAGGAAGATTAACTTCAAAAGGCTGTAATAGACCATGTGTTAGTTTCCAATAATCTACTTGAACGTATTTGTAAGTGTGAGTCGATTCATGGTGGAGATAATCTCTCTGATAATGCCCCTGTAAGTTTGGATGTTAGGATTCCTGTTGAGTATTATGATTACCCTAACTTAGGCGCTACGCATCGTTTTCTTAAATGCCATGAAGCTAGTCAAAAGCAAATTGATGAGTACCAAAACAATATCGATGTTTTATTATCAAAAATTAGGAAATTAAACGAAACTTACCTTGGTTAAGTTGAAGTGTGATTCCAATTATTGGAGTAAAGAGGAATCACTATAGAGATTAGGTGAATAGGACTGCGCAGCCGTACAAGATCATACTTTAAATAAAAATTTTCCAAAGTTTAGATAACAAATGGAATATATATAATGAAAAAACTGTTTTAGAGACCTAGAATGCCGGGAAAAGGGAGGGAGGCACCTAATCTCTATAGTGATTCCTCTTTACTCCAATAATTGGAATCACACTTCAACTTAACCAAGGTAAGTTTCGTTTAATTTCCTAATTATTTCTCGTAAAGTCTCACTTACGAGATTATGTGAATCTTTAAAGCAAAACAAAGGAAAATTTCAAACTTTTAATACAGAGATAGAAAACTCTTCATTATTAATAACATGTTTATCATAATATTTTCTGAAAGTTCCCACATTTGTCCAACCAGCTTTAGACATGATATCTTTAATTGGCACATTACCCAACTTCGCTCTAGAAACAACTGCAGAGCGCACACTATGAGCTGTAAAAACACTAGTATCAACACCTGCACTGTACATAACACATTTTAGCCACCTGGCAATAGTATCCCGCGAAACGCAATTATGAGGTTTTATATAACTTATAAACAGACGTCCATTCATATTTTCCCGTAACCTCTCAGTTCGTTCTAAATATTGTTTCATACCCGTATATACACAAAGTCTCCTATCTGGAGGATACGAGTTCAAAACAAACTCGGGCACATGAAAATTTGGCCTACTAACTTTCAATACGTCAGTAAATACGAACACAAAAGAAGATTTCCTCTTCAACATATTACACAATTTCAAACAATGAAGAGACTGTATTCTTGAAGCACAGATTAAAGCGATCAGCATCACCAATTTCAATGTTAAATTTTTTAGCGACAGTTCCGCAACAGGTGATAACTTCTGCAAATATTTTAAGACAGGAGCAACATCCCAAATGCATGTATAACGCGCTTGAGTAGGTCTAAGATTAAATACTCCTCTTAGAAATCTTATAACCAGAGGATGACAGCCCACTGTAAATCCCTCAAATACAAGCCCTAACGATGAAAGCGCTCCTCTGGCTGTGTTGAGTGCACTATATCCAAGGCCAGCAGAAAAAAGAGACGCTAAAAAATTTATGACAATTTTTATAGATGGGCAAAGTGGATTAATCTGTTCTTGACGACAGTACTGAAACCATCTCTTATGGTAGACTTGATACTGTTTCTTGGTCCCTGACTTCCAAGATGCCATGATGACAGTTGTTGCCTGTTCAGAAAAACCTCGTTTTCCGAATTGATTCCGGATACATGACAAGTCATTAAACTTAGATTTTTCCAAAGAGGGTGAGGCTGTCCGCTGGACACTTGAACAAGAAGATCCTTTTGAGCTGGAAGAATCACTGGAACATCTATTAACAACTCGAGTAACCTTGTGAACCAAGGTTGACTTGGCCATATCGGTGCTACGACAATACATCTCGCCTTGTCTTGACGTATCTTCTGAACACAACGGTTCAATAGGCTGAAAGGAGGATTTAAATAACAATAAAAATCATGCCATGAAAAAGTAAAAGCATTTATAAAAGATGCATCTGGATCCGGTTTCCATGAACAAAACGTTTTAATCTGACAGTTAAGTCTTGAGGCAAACAAGTCAATATCTGGTAAGCCCCATAAGCTAGCAATCCATGAGAAAATATCTGAATTTAACATCCATTCAGTTTGATCATCAAATTTCCTGGAAGCAATATCTGCAACGTTAGATTTACCAGGTATATGACTCGCTGTAAGCCAAACATTATTCTCGATGCACCACTGCCAAAGTTGTTTTGCGAGCATATCACAACATACTGAATTGATACCTCCCATATTGTTTATATACTATTCAAAAAAAGTAGGGGATATTTGATTTTTAAGTGTTATTAAAGTCACCTAATGAAACTGACGAAGAAACAAATGACAAAATGAAATGAAGTTCACATTCATCGATTTATTCCAAATGATCGTTAGACTAAGTAAGGCACAGACTGACCATTATAAGGGTAAAATGATACCCGGGGTCAAACAGCAAAGTCAGTAACGGGTAAATCCTCCTCTGTTTGCCAAACAAGCATTGATCCGACGTGGCATACTCCTAATGAGACGTCTAAGGTCATTTTGGTCCAGATTGTCCCATTCCTGTTGCAACGCAGCAGCAAGTTCTTGGACATTGGCAGGACGTTGTTGACGTTGACGTAACCTCTGTCCAAGCATGTCCCAGACATGCTCGATGGGGGAGAGGTCGGGACTCAGTGCTGGCCAAGGTAATGTGGTGATGTTCTGTTGTTGGAGGTAACCTGTAACGATCCTGGCCCTGTGACATCTTGCGTTGTCATCCTGGAAGATGAAACGGCGGCCATGACGTCGTGCGAACGGCACAACATGGACTGCCAAGATGTTGTCCCGGTAGTACTGGCCTGTAACAAGCCCTGCAACAACATGTTAAGCCGTTCTTCCAGCAACAGTGATGCCTCCCCACACCATAACAGAACCACCCCCAAATCGATCATGTCTGATGACGTTAACGTCTTGGAAGCGCTCGTTTCGACGACGCCACACCCTCCTACGTCTGTCCAAAAAATCAACAGTGAACCTTGACTCATCTGAAAACATCACATTGCTCCAGCGTCGATTATCCCAGTGTTGACGATCCCTACACCAACGACGTCTTGCCTGAATGTGATGATCTCTCAAACAAGGGATCACGCGAGGACGTCGGGCGCGAAGGTGACCCCTTTGCAGTCGATTCCGAATCGTCTGGCCACTCACTCTCACACCAGTGTCTGTTTGAAGACGAGCGCTGATCTGATTTGCTGTGATGACACGATTTCTCAAGGCCAAGGTACGGATAAATCGATCCTGGGCTTGAGTTGTCGCCCTTGGTCGACCTGAGCGTGGTCTGTCCTGTACAGATTGTGTATCACGGTATCTGGACCATAGCCTGCTTATGACAGACTGAGAAACATTCATCGTCCGCGCCACAACCGCCTGTGTTGTGCCGATCTGTAGCATGCCAAGGGCACGTAACCTTTCATTTTGGGTAAGCCGACGCATATCAAAATTTGTTTTCTGGTCACTAAAACAATTAAACTGATGTTACCACCCTGGAATTCAATGCCACAATGACTGTAACATTCAAAGTCAGAGTCGTGCAAATCTTGGGTTGGACCCCCATGATGATCCCAAGCATCACCTGCATTCCATGCGGTAGCTATTGGTGCGTTTGGGCGTCACATGTAACTGGAAATGTTTCTTCTGTTAGGTTCTATAGTGACTTTTTTCGTAGTCATTTGCATATTTTAGTATTATGCCCCCAAAATCAAATATCCCCTACTTTTTTTGAATAGTATATAAGAAACAGCAGAAGTATTATCCAGTAATATTTTCACATGTTTACCATAAAATTTATTGTTGATATTAAAAGATCTCAAGCCATAAAATCCGGCAAGTAATTCAAGATAATTAATATGAAATTTTGATTCTGATGAATTCCATCTACCACCTATTTTAAAATTGTCACTTTTAGCACCCCAACCTAACATAGATGCATCTGTGGTAACAGTGAAATGAATGTCTCCGTGAGAAATAACTCTATATTGACTATGTAAATTAGTGAGCCACCATTGAATTTCAGATTTCATATCCTCTGAAATGACTATTGTAGCATCAAAATTAACGCCTGAATATTTTAGAGCCTTATCCTTAATTCTCTCTAAATTTCTATAATGCAAAGGCCCATACTCGACTGCTGAAAAAGAAGCAACCAAAGAACCTATGACCTTAGCAACACCCCTAATCTTTGCTGTAGAACATTTGAGAATCTGATTACAGGCTAGTAAAATACGAGACTTCCTCTCTTCTGTAAGAGTAACTGTCATTGTATGAGAATTTATAATGTTTCCTAAGAAAACTATTACTTTAGATGGTTTGAGAACAGATTTCTCAAAATTAACTGTAAATCCAAGACCACCTACAAATGCAATAGTTGTAGAAATATTGTCCTCACATTCTTTAACTGTATCGCCTAGTAATAAAGAATCATCGATGTAGGCAGTATTGACAAAGCCTAAACGGCGAAGAGTAGCAAACACAGATTTCAGTAATTTAGTAAATATTCGAGGCGCACTTGCTAGCCCTTGAGCCATAGAAGTGTACATGTACAGTTTATCATTCCACATAAATGTAAGGAACTTTCGATGTTCCTCAGCAATAGATATTGAATAATATGCATTGGAGAAATCAATACTTCCGAAAAAACAATCTTGAGTTACTAAATTAACTGCAGTTTCGAAATTATCCATTTTGAAATGGTGATAAACAATAAATTTATTTAATTCTTTCAAGTTGAGAATCATACGAAATTTACCATTCGGTTTAGGTCTAACAAAAATTGTTGAGACAAACCCATCACGAGAAAAGGGAACTTCCTGTAACACATTCATATCAAGGAGGTTTTGAACCTCAATAGTAATTACAGCCGATTGCTGGTCATTAAAAATTGGTTGATATGGCAAATTATATTGGATAGGAATCAACCCATCAACAAATTCCAAATGGCAATGTTTAACAATATCTAAAATTGTGTGATCTGAAGTTAAATTCTCCCATGCATATTCATATAAAGAGAGTCTGCCAGCTTGAAACTTACTGGCATTCATACTTGCCTCAGAAACTACTTCTGTTGAGCTTGTTGGGAGTGGGGTCGACCTTGACCCCTCTTCTGGTAGTTTTTTGCGTCTGAATTGTATGATCCATAGGAACCTCCAGAACCACGACCACGAAAATGGCCTCTAAAAAATCTACCTCTAAATCCTCTACCACGGACAGACCTTCCACGTCCTCCGCGACCTAGGTAAGCACCTATCTTGTTACTAATACGAGAGCAATCAGAGATATCCTTAACTGTTTAGATATGTCATCTCCAAATAGACAATCTGTATATTTGAAATTCTGACTGCATAAATGTAAATATTCCCCTCTCATATCGGGTTTCATCATATCTCGACGCACCAAACACAACTGTTTATTGGCATGTCCAAATAAAGCAAGGGACTCCATAGCCTGCTCCAATACGTTGTTAACATCCAGAGGTTGTCCACCACCAAGGACTTCTGTAACTTTAGCCAAAGAGACTGCTCCTTTAATGATGGAAGTTTGTGCGTTTTGTATACGTTTGTCCATCGTACGTGTAGACTGACTAAGAAAATCCCACACTAATTGGTTGGTTTTAACAGTCACCAAAGACTCACAGTTTTTAGGACGAGAGATAGATTTAATTAACTCATTATATCTGTCCTCCTCTACACCGTCTCTGAACCAGTTATCGACCAACGATGCCAAGTCTGGATTAATAGGTTTGTCACACAAATCTTTAACTCTCAATTTTTCCCCTGCCAGAGCATAAACAGAATTACTAAGTTCTGCGTCTGTTGATAATTTGGGCTTTTTTGTAGGCAAAACTTCTAGATCATCTTCATTATAATCTGTATCATCATTATAGCCTAATAACTCATTTTCATAATCGTCATCATTGACATAGTAAAGATCATCAACTTTATTCGATAGTCTTTGAAACCGAGAATTCTGAGCCGATTGGGTCTCCTGAATGGATTTTAGAATCGTCAGGACATCATTATTACTTGACTCGGCAGACTGAACATCTTTCGATTTAGACGATGTCGAGGCAGCGAGAAAATTGGAAAAAACACTCGTCGAGCCGATGTTATTATTATTACCGGTACTACAACCAGGCAAAGAATTAGCGGTTACATCGAACTGTTTAGGAGAATCGGGATTCAAACCTTTTTTCCTTCCGCTTTTATTAGATCCACTAACCGAGTTTCTAGACGGCCTTGTTTTTTCCTTCAACTGGTCCTGAGAAACCTGAATCTCGGCCATAGCAACGACGTAAACAAATCAAGCACCTCGTGCGAAAAACAAAATGGCGGATAACCTCCAACCAAAAAAGTCCTGTGTAATAAGAGATCGTAAAAACCGACCGATCTAAAGTAACTAACCACGTTAGCCACACATCTACTGATAGAAAACCTAAAGTTTATTGACCACGTCAATAACTATCAGAAAAAGTACTGAAGTTAACAAGACCACGTCCTGTCACTTCGGCTAATAGCAGTACAATGATCTTGTACGGCTGCGCAGTCCTATTCACATAATCTCGTAAGTGAGACTTTACGAGAAATAATTAGTATCCCTACTGATGCTTTACATTTTATTAGAGAAATAACTTTCTCTCGTTTTATTATGCAAAATTCAACTGACACTAGCCTTGGCCCCTAACTTCCAAAATAGCACACTCTAAAAACAATAAGGCATAAGGAATCTACATGTATACTTGTTTGCAAATGAAAATGCAAAAGAAAAAAAGCCAATAGAAATAGTGATTTTCATCCAAGAATATTTTCTGACATAGTTAAAAATTAAACAGGTTAAAACTGATTTTTAGTGTATTGGTAATGAAGACAAAATCAACATGTTGACTTTCGCAGGTTGGGTATGTCTTTTCTGTTCTTTTCCACTACCTGGAGCATATTTTGGAAATTTTCCTTTTTCCTGGCAGAGGCTAAGTAATCCGAGCTAAGTTTGACACCCATCTCAGCACAGTCAATTGACTACGTTGATGGCCTGCACATTGTTGACGTTTTCCTTGTAGTTCTCCGAGCCTTCCCACTCTTCCAAATTCAAAGACAGAAATCCAGGGTCCAACTGCATGATTCGAAACAAATACCAAGAATCTGCGTAATTTCGTTCGAGAATGTTGGTTTCCCATATCCGGAACCAAATCGATTCATTGGTGCGACTACTGGCTGATCAGGCTTTATTTCAAGCAGTTTTTTTTTTAGCAATGTAGCGTTTTTCTTCGATGGGAACGTAGCTGCCAAATATAACTAATGCTACCAATTCTTGAGTGAGATACCATAGGTGGCGTTCGAATGCCTTAATGACCGAGTCAGCTATAGCCTTATCAACTTCTTGATATCTGAGCAGATTCTTGTACAACTGCAGATCATTCCAGGCAGCTTCGGTACTAGAAGGACACTTTACCCACCAACTGTAGTACACGAGCACAACAAAATAAAAAAAATAAACAAACCTCATGAATTTTTGAACTTGCTGATGTGATGTAATGGTACCTGCCTGAAGAAGCGCTATCTGTTGTATCCTGGTAATTTTTAAGCACTCCGACTGCAGCTCTTGAACAAATCTATGTGTTTCTTCAGGAAACTCAGAGACATCGAACCGTCTCAATGGCTCGCTGCAGTCATCGGGTACAAGGTTCGAGTTCTGGCGCAGTCTACGAAACAGTGTCACTTTCGGTGATCGGGAAGCATCGATCTTTACGTCCTTGAAAGTGTGTGACAAGAGCACTTCTGCGACGTGGTGGCGGCAACTTGACCACAACAGCGGGTGTTGTAGTCGTTGCTGAATAATAACGCAAGCGGCTGATATGTGGCCGGTATTGCTGGCAGTAGTGTCATACGCAAGATTTACAATGTTTTCCGCACAGTTCCATTCATCAAGCAGATCACCGGTTAGCTGTGTTATGATTTCACCTGAGGACATATCTGTCTCAGCTTTATATGATGGGACACCAAGCAACTCAATCTCCTTCTGAGTACCCACAGCATTGGTCAGTCGCTCTTCCTGTTCATATTTGTCGTTCAGAGAATCCATGAGTTTCGAGTCCCAATGCAAGGAGGCCAACATTCTGCTTCCATTTTTCTTCTTATCTTGTGAACTTCGAAATAAGACGTCCAGACTTTACGGGAATCTCCTCAATCATCGTTTTCATGAAGACTGCCTGTCCGGTTGGGGAAAGCTTTAACCGCGATGACAAAGACACCAATCTAGGATTTTTGAGCACGTCGTAAGGAACGAAAGCTGGTGTGCCTGTTCTGACACGTCGATGCTTTCGTTTCTTTTCGGGCTGAGGTTGTATGTATTATCCTGTGGCTGTTTGTGAATCTTCATTCTCACCACTCTCATCAGATTCGAGATAAACCGTTTCAAACATTTCAGCATTTTCTCTGATGGAAACCTCCTTTCTTTCTTTTTCTAACCATACTTTCTTCTGTTTTCTGTTCTCTCCAGCTGCGGTCACTTTGTCCATGCCCCCGAATGTCGCAATACGGTCTGTCATCATGGATTTCAAAAAAACGCTACATTTCGGGACTAACATATGGTTTTTAATTTTATTTCAATAATTCGCTTGCGCGTAGGGGTCTTTAGCAGTGGGAGGAAACCGGAGGACCCGGAGAAAACCCACGAGGTTGGACCGGCGACCCTACTCCTTGCCACGTACAACCGGGGATTCGAAACCACGCCAGTCGACTCAATGACAGACTTTATGATACAGCGCGCGCACGCTAACCATTCAGCCATCCACCCCCCCCCGTGATATTAAAAGGTTAGCCAGTATAGGGTGGCCCACGCACCTACAGAAATACAGTCCACCGCTGATAGTTCGAGACTACCACTGCAGCGTGCACATTCGCCGTGTCGAGACCAACTTTCTGACAGTATGATACTATAAATAGCCATGGCACGTGCAATTCTCTACAAATCTATCAACTATTACAGCCGTAAAAAAATTATTGTTGACGATTTTGAATAGCAGTGAAATTAAGCTTCTTGGTTATTACAGCAGATTTAGAAATTACGTTCGTTTCATTTTTTAAATCGCTTTATCATTAACTGTACCGTTAAGAGCGGCATCTTTTGGTTTAGTACAAATAATATCTCAGAAACACTCGGGTTAGACAGGAACATGATACTAGCAGTAGTTTCATTTTACTTTTACAAGCTTCTTAAAACAATTGTTGAGCTAGCTAACGTTTCAATTTCTTGTTCTAGCTTTCTGTTATGTTTCGTAAAAAAGTAGTCTTGATTATCCCGACCTGTCAATCAGCCCTAGAATGGTCGATAGACTGGTTAAGCGAGACTACTTTCAAAACAAGGGCACGTAACCTATCTTTTACTCAAAAGTGTCTGGATGTTATGGACGACACATGGAACCAGTTTTCAGTCTATTATTTATAGATGATTAATGGTCATAGCTTATTAAGTACAACATGATCGTTTATTTAGTGACTATAATTGTGTGAAACTGATTTGAGGCTTGGCATATATATAAATATTGTGGCGAAATTGTCGAGATATATGGAGATATTTATTTATGGTGGGTCACCCTACCAGTGACGAAATGTTACGTAATGCTAATAACATGCTAATACATTATAATCACTTTTTGTGTATCCCGTCTTCATTAGCCCAGTTCGGAGCAGAAGAGTGGGACGTTAAACCCCATTTCATTTCTTATTGTTTATAAAACTTTTATAAGACAGAAAGTAACATGCCAATCGTATGATTAATCAATTGTTTTATTTACCATTGTTTTATTTCTTATGTTGTACATTATTACATCAATGCTTATTTGTGTCAGCACTGGATCAAGCCAAGTGATTAGTAGAAGTAATTCAATATTAATAAATTGGTCTGTTCTGTGTTGCTGCTGGCTCTTCTTTAAGTTTTCAGGCAACTTTTATCTGGGAAGGGTCACACACAAAGAAAACTTTTAATGGACTGCAGAAAATAAATGATTTTAAATACCGAAGTCGTGATCTGTGTCAGATGACTTTTTAACTAACTTTTATTATATTGAAAGAACCACACGAACATTTTTATTTGTAAATACTTCACGGGTCCAGCTATTTGGTTTTTACTGCGATAACTTCGCTTTTCCACATTAAACAGTGGATTCTTCTTTCCTACAGGGTTTTTTTTTCAATCCGCTGAGATGGCATCAAACAACTGGACCTCCTGTTTTAACTTGTTTTCATTATGCCAAAGTGTGAAGATGACCCTCCCTCTATTCTCACGCCAGCAATTTTAAAACTGTGTTTTAAAGTGACTGTTAGACATACAATAATTTTTTTAGTGTTTTACCATATATTTTACTCATTCATATGTAAATAACTTAATTAAATCAGATTTTGTAGAAAAATGTCAATTAACACCTATCATGAAATCGATTAACCTTATCAGATTATGACATTGGCACTGGTCTGACACGGCCAACGGCCACGCGGAAACCGAAGTCATTAGTTACTGCCCTTTGCCCGAGTTATGATGCAATATAGGCACCTGTATAATCTCTTCAATCATCCTTTGTCTAGAATAAATGGGTTTATAAGCAGAAATGAAAAGTAGATAGGACAGAGCGGAGGCCATGGGCGCCTTGGAGGCAGACTAGGCGAGGGCGTCTAGAAGTTAACTTGGGACCAGGCAGGTCTCGAGTTAAGACCGGGCAGCGGCCATGTAAGTTAGTTGGGCGTTGGCACCCAAGGGTGTCAAGCCGAGCTAGGCCCATGGCTCCCTCAACACAAGCTAATTACATGATATTTTTGAAGAACAATAAAAGTATCATATGTTAAACAAGAGTTGTCATCAAGACCCTGACATAAAGAACCAAAAGTGTAACACAACATGTCCATAATATCATGCCTTATGTATTGGACGTTAAATTTGTAATAAACAACAACAACGATAAGTTAGTCTTTTAGGCATATCCGACTTAGTTGCATACAAGTTGGTTATCCGCGGTCCTGTAAGTGTACGTAGATAATTATTATTATAAGTTACCAGTATTAAAGATTTGAAGAACCATTCCAGACTCTTGTAATATCTGAAGCACCTCTCGGCCACAACTTGAACAAGTAATATCTTTACAATGTAAAGCATCAGTACGGATTGATCGACATTGTTTTGGTACTCATCAATTTGTTGTTGACTAGGGTAATCATAATACTCAAGAGGAATCCTAAGATCCAAACTTACAGGGGCATTATTAGAGAAATTATCTCCATGAATCGA